GAGTCTGATCTACGTAGTGAGACCCTGTAGGCCCTGTAGACCTTGTAGACCCTTAGTAAAGTACCAGAAAAAAAAGGAAGAAAGGAAAGGAAAGGAAACTCACTACTACAATTGGGGATTTCAATGCTTCTCTTTCAAAACTGACAGAAAAACTATAAAGAAAATCAGGAAAGACATAGAAGCACTGAACAACACCATCAACCCCCAGGATCTAAGGGACATTCATAAAACACTGCACTTATGATGGAAAGGAAAAACTCCTCCCCAAAATATCCAAATCCCACAGTTTGGAATCATGGAAACCGAGCTCTGGCTTACACACTAAAGATGTTATCGTGTTGAGGAACTTGAGAGAAGTAGCTTGTCTTGGATTGCTGGGTGGACCGCAAGTGCAGTCACAGTTTTGGTGTGAAAAAGGGGGTAGAGACAGATAAGAAAAGACCCACAGGAGAATGCAGAGTGAGGACAGGGACAGACTGGACTAACGGCCACAGGTCAAGGAGTGCCTCAGCACCAGAACCTGAAGGAGCCAAAGAAGTGATTCTCTGCTAGGGCTCTCAGAAAGAGTGTGATCCTGCCAACTCCCTGAGTTCAGGCTTTTTGCCTTCAGTGTCGAAAAAGTTTCCACTATACCAATTGCTAACGCTAAAATTATCCTGAGAATGCCTCTGGACTTGCCCTTATGGCACAACTGCCACTTGTCAGCTCATAAACTAACTGAAGTCCTGAGGAGCTGAGTCTCAGCTGATCTCAGCAGCTGAGCTGTAGGCTCTCACAAGAGGCAAACTGAGCAGACATGAGAGACAAAGGCCAGGCTGCCAGCAAATGAGCCATGTCATGCCTCACTTCTGATTCTGTCCACCAATGCCACCTGCCCACGCTGTGAGGTAGCCCGCTCTGAGCCCCTTCTGGTTCTGAGAGTGGCCTGATCCTTACTCTTTGCTCAGTCCAACTCTGATAAATTTAATTTTCCTAGTTTTTACTTTAACTATGTAATAATAATATTCCATTCACATGTGTACATCCATGCATGCGTGAACACACACTCACACACACACACATGCACACACACACACACACACACACACACACACAGTCTCACCACTCTATGTATAAAGCTTTAGAGCAAACTTTGCTAGCTTGGCAAATATGGGTTTCAATTCAAAGAAGTAACACGGTCTCCTCCGTGCTTTTAGAGATTAAAGTTGGAAAAGTATGAGAAGCTAAAGGTGAGGATCAGCACGATGTTACTGCAATGGCAATGAGCAAAAATCCAGGCAAGAATGCAAGAGGCCAACAGGCGGCATGGGGCACGTCCTTGGACCACTAGCCGCCCCCAGGCACCAGAGTAAGTCCCACTTACACTCTCAGAGAGATCCATGGTGTTTCCAGAATTGCTGAAGTGATCCACTTCCAGAGCCATAATCTTCCCATTCTTCATGAAGCCAACCTGGTGAAAGAGGAATGATTTTTCAACAGGGCCTTCCTCTGTCTGTCTCTGAACCTCCCCTCTACTCATACTACCTGCAGGAAGCAGAAAGGACCAGATATCATATCATGAAAAAAAGATGACCATGAGGCATCACCAGATTAGAACAGACAGAAAGGAACGACCTCCCTCCCAGGAGTACACGTTGGCTTCTAGACCCTGGCTTCTAGACCCTGACACTCTGACCCATGCTCTAAATCCTTATGCCTATCCACAGCTCCCAGGAGAAAGGGGAGAGACCACAGAAGAGAAAGTTGGTTGTGACTGGGCAGAGGGGAGTGTTAGGAAAGCAAAACAGGAGAGACACTAGAAAGTCCCCTCACCAAACTGGCTAGTAGCTAATAGCAAAAGCCTGAATGTACTTGCGCATCCTTAACCTTATTTAACAATTAAAGACACCCAATCAAGGGCCAAGCACATAGCTCAGCAGCACAAATGCTTTCCTCATCCTGAGTTTGATTCCTGGTACCAGAATAAAAAGAAAAACAAAATGAAGAAAAACAAACAAACAAACAAAAAAAAAAAAAACACTCAATCAAAAAAACCTACTATTGAACTGAATAGACACTGCTCAAAAGTACTAATGGCCAATAAATACCAGAAAAGAAAAATGTTTGAGATCACTAGCCATTAGAGAAACACAAATTAAGATATTGAGATTCCATCTCAATGAATGGACATCATTAAGAACTCAAATAACAACTTCTGGCAAGGTTGTGGAAAAAAGAAACCCTTCTACACTGTTGGTGGGAATGTCAGCTAGTACAACCACCCTGGAAATCAGTATGGAGATTCCTTAAGAAAAGAAAACCATAAATTCCATTCAACTCAGTTATTCCCTGACTGTATCTCCCTGAAAGAGTTAAAGACATCATATTACAGTGCGACATGCATACCAATGTTTATAGCAGCAGCATTCATGGTAGCTAAATCTTGGAAGCAGCCTGAAGGTCTATCAGCAGGTGAGTGGATAGAGGAATGTGTCACTCACACATAATGGTACACCATAAAGAAAGATGAAATCAAGTCATTTGTAGCTTGAGACCATAATGGGAAGTGAAATAAATCAGACACCCAAGCTTAAATGTTGTATGATTTCTCTTACATGAGAAATCCAAAATATAAATAAAGAGCGAGATAAAAGGTAGACAATTAGAAGAAGAGAGATAGATCTTCTTCAAATAAGAAAGATGCCAAGAGGTGGAGGAAGGGTTGAGGGAAGCAAGCAAAGGAGGAGGCAAGATTTAGTATGTGATTTGTACATTTACTAACTCCTTGTGATGAATGTAATCATTACACACTGCAAACATGTGCTAATAAAACGGGACGAGTAGTCAAAAAAAAAGTAACCCTAAATGACTTTGTGGGCTATTTTACAAACATGTGAAACTAAGACCCCCAAAGATCAAACTCCCACCTTCAGGCTCAGAAAATACAGAAGCAAGTGCAATTGAATGTCTTCTGGGAGTTAAAGCATGAGATGAAGTCAGAACAGGACAGAGGAGAGCGAGGCGGAGCCCGGTGTCACCTTACTGATGAATGGAAAGGAAGGACACATTAGTCAGAACAGGAGCTGCTCACCCGCTGAGCCCTGAAAGGGGACTGTCCTAGAGAAGCATAAGGGTGGGTCTTTCTGTGACAGAGCAGGCACCGCCCTGACAATCTATACCTGTCTCAGACCCTGGGAAGTCTTATGTCTCATTGCAAATTGTTTGGCAATCATTCTGACTTCTACATCAAGCTATGAATGTGCTAATAATAGACATGGAATGGATTACTCCAGGTCTGCTGAAAGAAAAAAAAAAAAAAAAGGTTCCTGAGCCTAATTCACCACAGACCAGATCTGATCCTAGCAGATCCACAGAGGTTGTATATGCCCCCTTGTGATGTCTCTCGGGAGGTAACCCTTGAGCCTACCCCAACACACCTTCTATGTTGCTGATGTCAGGTCTGAGCCTCAGTGCTATTGCTTCATGATCTTCTATGCATACTAAGTAAGAGCAAAGCTCAGGATCCCTTGACCTTCTTCCCCAGGGTCTTTATAAGAGGACACTGCCCACCCGGACACACCCCCATCTAGAACCTTGTATCTGGCCAGGAAGGGGTGTCTGCCACCAGTGATCAGCATGTCTTCATCACGGTCCAGCATACAGCGCACAGGGCGGCCAGTCCTGAGTGGGGGGCAAGAGAGTTAGAGACCCTCTGAGTCTTTGGCGCCCCTGCCCTACAGATGCAAACAGCAAGGAAGACTTCCTTCTCCACCAGGTGCACTGAGCAGACCCATACCAGCTACACCACTGTGCAGGCACAAGGCTGGAAAGGATGCAAATCTAAGTTTGTGAGGGATGGCCTTGTCCTCAGATGGCTGCCAGGAAAGGCTGATGAGATATAGACCTGGCCAGAGAGGTCTAAGCACAAAGCATAGGTGCTGTTACCTTCACCCTAATACCTAAGGTTCTAGAAACAGAGTTGTACGAAAACTCAAAGCCGAGGAAAATTGCTTCCAAAGGGGCAAATCCAGAAAACCCTCCTGGCAGAGGTACCCTTATTCCTTTTCCCAGAGCTTTCTGGGAGAAGCAGGCCTCGGAACTCACTTGTGTGCAGCCAAAGCCACGACGGTAGACAACACAGTGCTCCGGGTCTCCTTCCCTCCAAAGCCTCCTCCCATTCTCTTCACTCGGACTACAATCCTATTGGCTGGAACTCCCAACATTTTTGCAACAAAGCTCTATGGGAGGAAAAAAAAAAAGTAACTCTCACACTGATGCATCTGTGGATTTATTTCAGTGATGTGCTTGGAGTGTTGACTTCAGTTAGTAGAATTACTGGAGTGAAAATCACCCTCCCCTTCTAGAGCAGCCGGGGCTAGTCGAGTGGACTCCAGCACTCACTGAGCACTGAAGACTGAGTTCAGGCTACTCAGGTATTTGTTTTTAACCCGAACAGGGAGAGTACAGCATATTTTTCAGAGTCCAAATCCATTCTAACTAGCAAGATGCTGATGGGTAGGACCAGCTGACAAAAATGCTGGCAACTAGGGCCGGTGAGATAGCTCAGCAGACTAAGCACCTGTTTAGGAAAAGGCAGGGACTGGGGTTCCATCCCCAGCACCACATGCCTCACTGGTCCCACCCCCGGGTGCACTGAACCAGCCACTGAGACTGCGCGTGGTGGCGCACACCTGTAACCCCAGTGCTGGGGAGGCTGAAAACAGGAGGAAGTCCAAGCTACGTAGAGACCTTGTATCAAATACAATAAAAAATTATAATAAAAATGAATTTAAAAAATGTTTAAAAAAATGCTGGCAACTGCTGTCACATTCCACACAGCAGAATATCTGATCAGTCACAGATAAGTTAGTGGTTCCCTCAGCTGTCCTTCATTTTAAAGATGAAGAAACTGAAGTAGATATACCTTGACCACCACCATATAGCATCACAGTGATCAAAATAAATACTTGCCGAGCTCTGGTACAATTTTTAAAACTCATCTACTTGATCCAATAGCCCTACCAGGCTCCATGTTATAGATGGAGAAACTGGAGTCCAGAGAGGTTACATGACAAGTTCAGTAGCTCAAGCTTGCTGGTGAGAGGGTCCAGCTCCAAGCCAGTGTGCTCAAGTCCCCTTCGGGACCAACCCAGGTCACCTCCTTTCCATTTGCTACCCTGCCCTTGAGATCCACCAGGGCTCTCTGGTCACTGCCCTAGAGGCCCAAGGCGATCCACAGTCACTTACTTGGGTCTTCATGGTATTTTGGGTAGACACGAAGAGTTCCATCTCCCCTGACTCTCCTTTAGGCACAGCGATGGTGCAGTGAGTTTCCAGGTAGAAGTGTTCCTGGCCTCCAATGTAGAACTCTCCTGGGGAAGCAAAGGGTCCCACCGGAAGTCAATCGCTGCATGGGACAATGTTTGCATGGTGAGAGAGTACACTCTGCTGAGCAGCCTGGGCAGTTACCACCTCATGGTAGGTTACACATCTTCCTCAGGACCCAGCCCCACAGAGAAATCACAATGACAGAGAAATAAATCAGGTGCAAAATTGTTTTCTTACTGCAGTGAGTAGGTTGATTTCTGAAACTGTTATACAACTTTGCAAAAGGTAAAGAAGAATTTAGAGGTATGATCGAGACCACAGTGTTGAGTGAAACAAATCAGACACACAAGCTAAATTATCCCATGGTCTCCCTTTATAAGGGAAACCCAAAGCATAAATAATTAAAAAGCAAAGTAAAAACTGCATAGATAATAGGAATTAGGGAGACAGACCTTTTGTGAAAGAGAATGGGACCACAGATGGAGGAAGGAAGGGAACGAGGGAGGGAGGGAATAAAGGAAGGAAGGGAAAGAGGAAAGGAAGGAGGGGGAAGAGGAGGGGAGGAGGATGAAAAAAGAATTAAGATGTGCTGTGTACATGTGCCAATGCCCCATAAGGAACATAATCATTATGTACTACAAACCTGTACCAATAAAAACAAAAATTAAAAGAAGGTGTGACATAAGAGCTTAAAATAAGAGCATCTTCTAGGACTGAAGCTATTGGGCCTGTTGGGGAGTTGGCTGCCAGTGACTTAGCAACACCCAAGCACCAAGTAGGAAGCAATCCCAAAGGGGGGTGGTTGGCAGGACCTAATTTCAGAGTCAGAGACAGATCAGGAGGTGGAGAAGGGAGGACAGGGTAGGGGAAATATCTAGCAGAGGATGGGTAAGGAGTACCTTCAGGCAGACAGGGAGGACGAAGAGCTATATGGGTAGAGATGTAGCAAAAGTGGAAGGGGACACAGAGATCACTGGAAGCTGGATGGGACGCGATTTCATCTCAAGTAAGAACCAAAGCTACCTACACCTGTGGCCCATATCTTCCCCCAGTAACCTTCTAATTGAGGAAAACACCATGTATAATCCCTGTAGAATCACTTAGGTATGTCCAGTGCAGAAACAAGGTGAACAGAGATTAAAATGAGTGAGGTTAGATCCCAGTCAGTGGTCTACTGTCATGTTACAAATGTCAGACGGGATCTTCCATTAGAAATGTTTAGACCTTGCTTCCCTGTTCTAGGGCTCAATGCATGCCTCTTGAATTTATTTCACAAAACAGTGTTGTCCTACCCCTGCTGCTTCATGGCATTCTATACCTGAAACAACATTGTCTGCTTCAGCAAACCCCTTCTTGAGGTCTCCTTTCTCGATCTTCTGCTCAGTTCCATGAAAGGAGTTGTTCTTTATAGCATCCTATGAATCAGAAGGAAGTTTCAGTAGTGTGGCTTTCGGAGGGAGAAAGATGGCTTGTGATTAGAAAACTAGGAGCTATCTGAGTTGCTCTCTTCTCATATGTGAATCTCTACAAACTTCGGGCACAGACTTAATGCAGCCCATGGGATTGTATACCTAGCTCCTTAACTGTAAATGAACAGCCCTGAATCTTGAGGAAAAACAACAAAACAATCCTATAAGATAGCAGCTGGTGCTGAAATTAGGTGAAGGATGAACTCAGTTTGGATGTTAATGAACTGAACCTAAAATTACAAGAAGAAAGATTTCATGGGACAAAAACTTCAGGGCTGGGAAAGATTTTAAAACCCATTTATAGGTGCTCCTTAACTTACAGTAGGGTTACATCCCAATAAATCTATTGTCAGTTGAAAATTCTGTAAGTTAAAAATGCATTTAATATGCCTAACTTATCAAACACTATAGCTTTGCCTAGCCTACCTTAATCATAGTCAGAACACTTACATTAGCCTACAATAAGGCAACATCATCTAACATAAACCCTGTTTTAAAATAAAGTGTTGACTATGTCATGTGATTTACTGAATATTGTACTGAAGGTGAAAACAGTTACTGGCATGATTTTGCACCACAGAAAGTTGAAAAACAAAAAATCAGGTTAGTAGAACTATGGCAAACCAGAGGCCATCTGTGGTCAAACCCCTACTCGATGCTTACATCACTCTGGATGGTCCTAATAAATGTACCTGAAGGGGACTGAGGATGCAGTTCAATACTACAGTTCTTGCCCTGCATGAACAAAGACCTAAGTTCAATCCCAAGTGCCACATTAAATGAATGGATGGGTGGGTGGATGGATGGGTGGGTGGATGGATGGATGGATAGATGGATGGATGGAGGGATGGATGGGCAAGCCTGCAGGGGCAGAGGGCCTGCACCTCCACACAAGGCAGCGCATGCTCAGTTACCTCAATTGTGATAATAGCTGGAAGGTCCTCATAAGTGATTTTCACAGCTTGAGCAGCTCTCTGGGCATGTTCTCTGGTGTCGGTGACCACAGCACCAATGATGTGCCCGATACAAGTAACCTAGCAGCAGAGACAGAGTGGCAAAGAACTAAACTAAAAGCTTTTCAGGAAGCAATTTATAGATTTTCAAAAATACAAAGCAGGTCCCTGCTCTGATCATCAAGACATACTTTATAAATGCCATGAGGCCTTGTCATTCCCTTATCCTATTAACTGAATTTACAAACCTCTTCATATGTACTTAGATTCATTTAACCTGGACCAGGACACAAGGAGCACTGTTGTCTGGATGGAAAGAAACTTCTTCTCGAGGGCAGATTCTGTTTTTTAAGTACTGGTAGCCTACTGTCAAGCTACACAGAATAGAAAGTAGAGTTTGATTATTGCTGTCCACAATAGGGTACCAGGAAATGTATAAGTCAACTCAGATCTACTTCAATATCCTTGTTCTTCATATGAAAGATAGAGACCCAAGAAGCAAAGTCACAACTGTCTTTAGCTACCAGGCGATGGCTGACTGTTTTGTTTTCAATCCACCACACTACTCTTTTCTACATGCTATTTCCTAGCTTTATACCAAAAGCTCCTCAGAATCCAAAACCAAGCCTTGTACTTCATCTAGATGCCCAAAGCAGTAGCTCTCAGAGGCAAGTTCTTAGACTTGATGATCCACAAACAAATTTTTCAATTTATAGAATTGAAAGAATAATGATTTCTTTAAAACATAATTCACAAAACTTAATAAATCACCTTCAAGGACATTTTCCATCAACTATTACACTAAAATAAAAAACAAAAAATTGTTTTCTAACTCATCACTTTGGGATACAAGGTTTCTAACAATATGAATGAATATTTAACATGAAAGTCTCTGGTAATTATCTCTTCCGCACCCAGTTATATTATTGACTTAATTGGTTAATGCCTGGCTAGTAGTACCAACCTGACAATCACCAGCCAAAATGCTTGAGAGCTCTTGAAATTTGTAAAATGATTTGTTCTTTTTGCCAAATTCTTTTCTTGCAGTCTTTGTGGTTACTATTTGAAGCTTTTTGGTTTTTTCCTTCATCTTTGCATCACTAATAAGGTCAATTTACCCTATAACTCCCACCTCCGCATATCTAATCTGCAACATTCTATATTGGAATTATAAAATGACCATCTGAGAACTATCCTATGAATAATAATACAAAGATCTTTTATAACAGCTGTCTTTAAGATTTGGAAACTCTTTGTTGTTGTTGCAGAATTCCATATAACCAATGTCAGTACATGAACTTTCATATAAGTGGGTTGTCAACAAGCATCATGACGCTGTGGTATCTGGTTAGTTGGCTTATTATACTTTTATTTTCCTTTTTTAAAAAGGATCTTGGAGTGGGACGACCCAGGACCCACCGGATCCTCACTCTAGCCAGCACCCAGGCCCAGCTTGTGAGTGGGTCCACCGGATCTTCCAGCCAGCACCCAAGCCAGCTGTGTGTGTGAAACTTCCTCCATCAGACAGACCCAGTGTGTAACCTTGCAGAAGAACTCCCTGCAGAGAGGATAGAGGAAAGATCCACCCATCTGATCCAGGAGCAGAACATCAGGCCAGAGTGGCACAGCAGGTTCAATTCCAAGGGCTTCAGCAGGAAGAAGTTGAGCACAGCAGCCAGACCCAAGCCACATCCACCTGGATGAGTCTGAACTTGGTAGATCCAGATCTAGTTCTAAGGTAATAACCCTACCAAAGCTCTACATCAAAGGTTAGAAGACAGTGCTATACAAAATGACAAAGAGAAGGAGCAAAATGCATTCTCAGGCCCCAAGCCCACCCAGAGCAAATACAGGAAAGAATAGCATAGAAGAAATTAGAAATCACACACCTGAAATCCCTGAAATAATAGCATCTGAAGTAAAGAAACAACTGCAGAAAGATATAGAGGGAATCAGATGAAAAATAATTTCTGAAGCAAAAAAAAGAAATGATAACTATAATGAAAGAAGTACTATGTGCTTCTAAATAAGACACTGATAAAAGAAAATAGAGAATAGAAAAATGATGGAATCCCTGAATAAGCGATATAGGAAAGAAATAGAATGTATGAAGCGGATTCAAAGTGATATATAGGAAATTAAAATCTCAATCACAAGTTGGCAAAACCATTTGAATGAAAGTGAAAATAGACTTTCAGACCTTGAGGAAAACATTGCAACTAGTGAAAAGGTAAGAAAAGATCTCTTAAAAGCAACTAGGATGCAGAAAAAAATAATTCAACATCTGCAAGACAATGCAAAGATGAACCAAGTAAGACTAATAGGCATCAATGAGAAAGAAGGAGTCAATACAAATGATAAAGGAAGAATATGGGCAGAAGTAATAGCAGAAAACTTCCCAAATATGGGGAAACAATCTGACATTCAGGTAACTGAAAAGCATACAGAACTCTAAATAATATCAACCCAATTAAAACCACACCCAGACATATAATAATCAAGATCCCAGAAATTCAGCACAGGAACAGTATACTAAAAGCTGCTAGAGAAAAGAAACATCACATTTAAAGGAAAACCCATCAGAATAACAGCAGATTGCTCTTCACAAATCATCAAGTCAAGAAGAGTATGGAGCAAAGTACTACAAATCTTGCAAGAAAACAAATTCCAACCCAGACTGATATACCCTGCAAAACTGTCTTTCAAGTATAATGGAGAAATGAAATACTTCCATGACAAAGAACAACTAAAGAATTTCATGATGACAAAGCCAAGCCTCACAGACTACTAAAAGATATTCTAGAGAGGGATCAAAATGACCACAACTCCATGAGTGAGAACAGAAAGAACCCACCAAATAGGGCAAACAAACACAGCAGAAAAAGAGGTATACAACAGCAGTCTTGCAATTATTCTTTTGTATACAGCAACAAAATAATTCCATCAGCATACTCTACAAATGGACTCTCCAGCACCCTATGGGTCATGATTCTGTCCGGGTCTACAGGGTGGATATAAAGGAAATAGCAGTAGCTCAGTCCCACAAGTGACACCTGGCCACCAATAAGTGTTATGGACACTATCCAGGTCCATGACACACTAGAACTTTGTGCAATATCCTATCCCCAAACTGTTAGATGTGCTGGTCATTTATTTGTCATTTCAGCATTTATCTTATGTTTTATTCTTAGTAATTCTTTACTATCATGAAAATTTTTTTTCTTAATTGATATTTTTCTATATATTAACCTATTCAAATACTATGTAGGTATTCTGAATTGATCACAGATTTGTACATATGATACACTACATTCTGGTCTCTTAGTTGGGCTCACAATTTAATTTTAATTTTTGAATATTATTTTGAAATATTTAATTTAATTTTGAATTGATT